CAGCTTTTATTTAAAAGTCAGCTCTGGGCTCTCATCCCGAGGAAACTTTGCCAGGTGTTTCTCTCTTTATTGGCTGCGTCATGAGAAGCCCACCAGGGAAAAACCACAATTAAGTTCTGTAGCATGATGCAGAAGCCACCTTTTAATGAGATCCCAGTCATGGAAACACACCCCAATGCTTTGAAAATGTGCAATATGTTTACCTGAGCCACTGCTCCTCATATTTTTTAGTTTTATCATCCACCCATCTCATACAGCAGCAGCTACTCATACGTGTCTGAGAAGCTCGAACACCTAGAGGAGCCTCGGGCTAAAGTCTGTTGAGTTGAGGCTGGTCTTCTAAAAAGGGACAAGAGGCCACGTTTTTAACTGAAACATCGTGAATCTGGGGTTCCCCCCCCCTTTTCCCGCTTCAGCTTTTTGGAAAGTGAGTAAGATGGTAGCACTTTCGCTGAGTCCTAGATATATTAAAGTATTGTCACTCAGGGCTTTTTTTGTTTAATCCACTGCCCTTGTGGATTAAAACAAAACAAAACAAAACAGAACTTTACCGATGTAAGCCAGAAAATTAGTTCTCCAGATTTCAAGAGTTCTTTCCAACTTTTTAACATCCATGTGTCCTTCCACCACAATCAATCAGCATTTTAAAACGTGGAAGGAGAACCTCTCTGCCTCTCCAGTTTATCCTTTCGAAGAAACCCGGGAGCCAGAAGCCCTGAGCGTCACACTTGTGGAGGACCTCCAAGGAGCTCCTCAGCGGGGAACCTGGTAGCCGGGCCCCCCTCGCAGGGGCAGGATGCTGGAACGGAGAGGGGAGGGGAGGGGAGGGCGCCCTCCCTGTCCCCGGGACGCAGGGCTGACCCTTCTGCAACATTGCAGTCTGCGTCTGCCTGAGTTGGGGAATTTTGGGTAATTTTTTTTCTGGGAGCAAAGCCTTCTTGGCACATTGAAAATTACAGCCTTGGCTCTCTTCATGCTAAATAGGAAAAAGCCGATCCATCCAGAACAAACGTGGCTTCCCTCTGCCCGACCATCAGAGAAGCTCCGAGAGTGGTGCCCGTAGTTGGCTTCCTTTGGTGGGACAGCAGGGGAGGCTGCTGTGGGCATGGTGGTGAAGCCCACCCCGTGGGTAATGCTGCCTTGCTCCTGAGGATCCTCTGCGTTTCCACCAGGTGGGAATGATCGCCAGTGGAGAGGCCAGCGGTGGGTGGAGGGCTCTTGGGGCCAAAGTCACCCTCTGACCCGAAGGGGCCCCGATGTGCCCCTCTGCTGGAGCACCAACCTGAAAACCAGCCTGCGTGTTGTGGGGGGCGTAGAGAGGAAGCTGCTTGGATCATCCGGGCTGGCCATCTGGCAGAGAAAACAGGACACTGAGCTGGGGACAAGCAGATTGTTCCACCACAGGGTTTCTCTTGTCATTGCGCTACAGGAAAGTGTTTACCAGGGAACGAATATAGCAACTGGCCCTGATCCCCCGTTCCCGAAATCGACAGCGACATTTCTGGGAACATCTACACAAGCCATACCCTGATGGGAAACATACTACGACAGACTAGGTCCACCACATGGCAACAGGAAACATCTGAGGCTTATTTACTTTCCTCCAACTTCCTAAGTGGGCTGGTGGGAATAATGGGGCACATTTGGAACCCTTGTGCATTAATGTTACACGCATGCGCGCGCACACACACACTCTGCCTTGCATTCAAAAGGTTCCAGTTTCAATGCATACCCAGTGAAGGCATCAAAGTGCTGGTGACAGGCGGCTTTTTTCCTGCTGAGAATGAAATCTAACTGGGGAGCGTAGAGGAGCTACACAGAGATGGCCTTGAAGAAAGTATATGGTGGCTGTTAGGAAAACGTTGGTTTAGCCCCAAAAGACAGGAGGGGGTGAGGAACAAACTCAAGATTGCCCTGCCTTGATTCTCTAAGAGGGAGGGGGGAGAGAGGAACTCTGTCAGGCTTTCAAGAATCGGTTATTATATCCTATAATAATAAAGCAGAGGAAAGTCAGGAGAAAGCCCCTTTGTTAGATTAACACATTTTATTAAAAGGTATAAAAGGTTGCAACTTGCAAAAGCTCGTACCTTCTAATAAAACTTGTTGGACAAGGTGTGCCAGACTCCTCCTGATTTTTTGCTACCGTAGGCAAACGTGGCTCTCCTACAACGTCTAGGACGAGAAGCAAGAAGTTCTTTGGGTGTCTGTTTCTTGACCTGGCCTACTCCAAAGGGCTCACGGCAGAACAATTCCCAGCACAGGCACTGTGTTCTACTTAGGGTTACGTCAGTCAGCTTTCTCCCTCCAACCTGGTCTTGCCTGAGGGGCCACATTCACTAGGGCTTGCAAAAGGGCTTCTTGTACATCTGGAGGGTCAGTGGAGGGCTTACTGTGCTGAGGGAGCATCAAGGGGGCGAAAGTGAGCCCTAAACAGACTCAACCAAGCACCGAGTTAGGATAACTCCAGTTCACCAGGTCTGCCAGTTGTGGGAACATAGCTCAGCTCCCTGATGCGTTTTGTACACCCAGCTCACAAAGAAAGGGCAGTGGAAGTGGTGACCTGAAGTCTTCTAGAGAAAGAGGCTGGGATTCTACAGACATCGGGCAGGCAGGGTGAGGCATGCTTGCAGAACCACAGAAAAGACCCGGCGGGCTAAGAGTGCCGGGGGAACAAGGCCTTTGTGTAAATGTAGAGCTGGACCACTGAACGGGAAGGAGAGCAGAGCGAGGCCAGAGGCTGCCCCGCTGGCCAGCTGCGGAAGTGAATGGGGGCTGATCCGCTGGACCTCCTTGATGGCACGGCGGCATAAGAAGGCCGTGGTGTCGGTGGCACAATGACTTCTCTCATTCCACCCCCCTGAACAATGCTCAGAATCTGCCTCAATTCTCATGATGCTTGAGGAAGAGTTCCCAGAACTGCACATCGAGACACCAAAGGTAAAAAGATTTACCAGGGTAATTTATTTCAAAATAACTTGAGTTTTATGGTTTAGCATATCTGGCAATAGTTGCAAAAATTACTCAGGTTTTTCTCCAAATTACTTGTACTCTCAGCTTACACTGGAAGTTTCTTCGGCAAAAGCCCTTGAAATTAAAAGTGAATTTGTTTCCCAATGGATTTTTGTCTTCTACTTGTTCAGGCAGAATCCAGGAGGAGAGTAATAAGGAGTAGTATTAAAATAAAGTTGGCATTTTAGTATCAGAATAAAAATACAAGAGTTTCTACTGATTGTCAACACAGCAAATTTCCAGGTCCTTTCTTCCTTGTTTTAAAAAAAAAGCTATTGAAGGATAATGCAAAATACATCCCGTTCAAATTAGCTGCAAACCTCCTGCAGAATACATCTGCTGAAAATCATGCACATTTCAGAACAAATATAGTCCAATTAGCTACCAGGGGATATCGAATGCTTTGTAATATGTACTGACACATATTTACAGATCAGGTCATCAAGGAGTTAGTTAATATTCCAGGCGGGAGACAAGCTCTAAAGTTATCCTAACAATTTGGACAAATTCCTTTGTGATCCCATTTCTGCTGGAGTAGAAAATAACACTGTCTGGTTTCAAGATTTGTCCAAACTACGCGCTACGGTCAGAAACCATCTTTTAGGTTATCTTCCGTGTTCTTTCGTGGCTACCTTTAATAGGATTCCATAAAACTGAAACAGCGCTCCTTCCCCGTAGAGACGTGAGGAGGTCACTCGGTCCACCTGCCTCTTCTACCCCCTCTGAGATGGCAGGGCTGAACCAGGGACCTTCAGCACACAGACGAGGGGTCCCACCGGGGGCTTCCGCCAAGCAAACAGCCTCCTCTCGTTGGCTCATGCTGACCTTGGCAGGCTAGCAGATTTTTTCCCCCCAAAATCTTCCAGCAACACAAAGATTCTTTGCGCATCTGCCTGCCCCAAGAAGTCATGGCCACCATAGTCAGCATCCAACAGCCACGGAGACTAGCTGATCCCAGCACTGCTGCCACATTTCCACAAACTGGTCAACTGGATGTTTTGTATCGGCATTTGTGGACGCATAGGCAGACATTCACATGAAGCCCAAATAAAAATTCGGGGTTTTCCTCCCCGCATTCCCTTTATCTATGGCCTCTGCTCCCACTAAGCGGCACTTGGAATTTGGGGGCGGGGGGGGTTGAAGGCAATGGTTGGTGTGTCCAATGGAAATAATTGCTTGTTTGGATCCAAAGTCCAAAGAATGTTCTTGGGGGTCAAACCAGGTCCTACTTAAGGTTCCACTCACAAACCAGGCACCCACAAAGTACAGATGCCAAATCTTTTTGGGAACATTATTTTTTTCAAGTGACTGCATTCTCCCTTTACAAGGTTCATTGTGGATCCTGCAGAAATTAGGGGATTGTACAGCTTCCAGGGTTTATTCTTATACTGAAATTTAATACCCTCAATGCTGTCTCTAAGAAACACTCACATTTGATGCTAACCAACAAAGTTGTAGAACAGGACAATTGCATAGAGCTGCCAATAGTATTATTTCCTCATTAATCTGAGGATCAGATTGTCCCAACAGAGCAAAGATTTGGTGAAAAGATAAAAAAGCAGATTATAATAGAAGCTTTTGCAAATACTTTTAAGTTCTTCCAATGCACTGAAATGCATTTATAGGTACCTTCAGCTAAAACTAGAAGAGAAGATGGTCCCAAAAGAAAACAGAAATGCTTTTTCTCATATGCTTATTGGACAGTCCTTTATAGTCCACAACGGGACCAGATAAAACAATCTGGGAAGAACAAAGCAGCCTCTTTCAGCTGTGAACAAAATCGTGGCCCTGGGCTGGGGCCGGCAAGTTCAGCCCTGCCTCTCTTCGGTAAGGCTGCTCCTTGCCTCGAAGGCCCTTCGTGTGTGGGGCTGAAATACGGCCAGTGGGAAAGGGAGTTCCCGTTGAGAAAAAGGAAAGAACTTTCCACAGGGGGTTCTGGAAAGGCAGAAGGGCCCATTGACCCACAGAGGGTGGCCGTGGGGAATCCAGATCACCGCCCGGGAGCAAAGGTCTCTTTTCCTTCTCTAAAGCGGTCCAAGGTCAGGTGCAAACATCAGCAGCCTCACCATCGATCCGTGGAAGTCAGAGCAAGGCTCTCCACACGCCCTTTGCAACCAAGGGAGCTGCTGAGACCGCGAGCAGGGAACAAGTTTTCTGACTGGAAATTGCTCCCGATGTTGTAGAAGGTCCTGCTTTTTTGATCTTCCCAAGGTCACTCTACTCTCCTTCAGATCATGAAACATGTTTGCTGAACAAATGGAATTTAACAGGGTTTTAAACCTTATGAATGATACGACATTCAATATAGATTTCTGCACTACTGATGTGCTCTATAAAAAAACATGAAATCATACAAGAATGTTGCAAGAGTAGCAAAAAAACCCCTAGTTTAAAAATATGTGCATTCTTACCTCCTGTTTTGTACCTTCCTTCTTCTGCTCACAGTAACTATGCAATACCCCTTCTCCCCTTGTATCTGCAAAAGCCTTGCTTTGAAGCAGAAGGCTGACTTCCTCAGAACCAAGGTTAGGAGCAACCCTGTTTTGGCTGGGCCCTCACCTCCAGAGCTGTAAGTCCCTTTGGATCTCTGAACTGCGGGAAGACCAGCTCCTTTTCGTTCGCAAATGTTTATTTCTGAAATAAATCTGAACGTGGCACGTTTCAGAAAAATGAGTAAAATTCACCTGATGCTAATATTCCTGCGGGCAGTGGCTTCTCCACTCTGCAGAGCCTTGACTTTCAGCTATTAAGGCTGAGTATCCATAGCTGGCTTTGCTGTCGCTGTGCCTTAAGGACTTAAATCCTGAGGGGGCGTCATGAAGGCTCTCCCCATCGGTGCTGAGATCGTCGTCCTCCAAGTCGCTCAGCAGCTTCCTCGAAGCCGTCTTGCGTCTGCAAAAGCAAGGGCCCATCCGCTTGAGAAAACGCCTGCAACCACCTGGGCTGCTGCTGGGTCACAGGATGGATTTTGATTTAATTTGCAAAGCTAATAAAACAGTCGGTTTTAAAGCTGTGGTGGATGCAGCCAAAATGTGCCAAGTCTTATAAGGACTTGTGGAACACAGCCGGTTTTGTGCAAATGCATTTTCCCCTACAGAAGACGACCCTGGCAACACCACGCTGACAGCCCCGTTTCTGGAAATTCAAGGGCAGGAAGCCCCACTTGAACACCTCCGGAAGAGCAAACTGCTCTGGGTGTTGGGAGAATCCAGCCTGAGTATCAGGAAGCCCAACTCGGTGGGTCACAAAGAGGCTTGCTGCGAATGTAACGGGATCAGCTTTATAAGAGGAAGAGGAAGGAGCCAGGACCCCCCCGCTGGGCCTGGACGGGGGCAAAGGGGAATCTGCAGACTGGAAGACGGGCGGCGCGTGCGCAGTGCTCCCCTCTCCTACCTGAGGTCCTGCCGGATGGCGTTCAGCTGCCCTTGCAGCTGCTCGTTCACGTCCGTCTGCTCCTCCAGCTCCCTCTGGAGTTTCTTCTTGGCGCTCTCCAGCCTGTCTATTTCTCCCTCCGCTTCCTCCACCTGCCGCTTCATTGCCTTCAGGCGCAAGCTGAGCTGTGGGGCAAGAAGAGGGCCGTCTTGGATCTTGGGCGGAGGCCGGCCAAGCCGAGTCCTTGCCTTCTGGTGAGAGGGCCAGGCTCCAGGGCAAGGGTTCCTGCAGAGGCTGGGGACCGCCCTCCTTGGGGCCCCTGAAAGAGAGGTGAGGGAGCAAGTCCCTTGGGGGCCCTCTCCTGCTTACCTGGTCCTTCTGATCAGTCAGGGAGAGATGTTCATCGTCCACCTGCATCAAGAGCTCCTTCACGGTCCTCTCCAGTCGGCGGTTGGTCAACTGGAGATGAGCTCGGTCCCTAGGAAGGCCAGGGAGAAGAGAAGGGGAAGGGAGAAACCATGCACCAGGTGAGGACTCCCCTGGTCCCCAGCATCTGGTCTACAAGGGCTTTCCTGGCTCTGCTCAGCCTGCTGACCTCACGGCACTCCCTCCACAGATCACCAGCTCTTTTGTGCGTCTCTGACAGAGGGACCTCAGTGGCCGACCTCGGGGGTTGCAGCCACCAGGCTGGACCTGGGCGCACCTGAGTGTGTGGGGCCCCATGTTGCTGGCAACCTGTCCTGGGCTTCTGTGTGTCACTGTGTGATTCTGGGGAAAGATGCGTTTGATTTAAGGAGGTGCTGACAGGTGTGATGTCTGTACTTACAGGCACTCCAAACTGCCTTTTCCCCTTCAAGTCTGACTTGCTGCAAAGCATTACAGGTTGTTTTTTTTCAATTTTATTTAAATTTAAATTTAATTTAATTGGCCCATTCCCAGAACTCTGTGTGGCCAACATAGTTATTACTTGGATGGGAGGCCATAAGGAAATCCTAAGACTCTTTCAGGACCGGTCTTCTGTCTGTCGGCAAAAGACAACTGATGGATCCACGAAGTCCCCGGTGGTCAAGCTCAACCCAGGCACCTTTATCTTACTGCCCACTGAGTAAAGAGACAGGCACAGGCCGTGGCGGATTCTAAGTGGAAGCCCCGAGCCCTCCGTGCTCAGCTGAGGAGTCCGTGGGGGCTTCCAGCAGCCGGAAGGCTCCTGGGGGGCTTCTCGAGAACGGCCCCATACCTCTCCTCGCTCTCCAGCCGCTCCTCCAGCTCCGCAATCCGGGCTTCCATCTGGACAAGGAGGCCTTCTTTGCTGGACTTGTAGGAGCCTTCGAGGTGCAGGATCCGGCTTTTCAGGTCTTTGTTCTGGAGGAGGAACCCCCCTGATTAATGAGCGGGTGCCTGCCAGCCAACTAAGCCAGAAAATTGGCCCAGGGCACATTAGAGCCCGAGGCAGGAGGCAGAAGGCGAGATGCAGCAGCAGCAGCAGCAAGTCAAGGACGCCCCCCAAGTTATAGCAAATCCACAGGAAGAAGAGCGGCCCTTGCGTTCCACTGCGGGGTAGGAGCCGGGTGTCGGGGGCGGGAAAAGGCACCCGGCCGACTCCATTACGGAAGCGTGTGCCCAAGCATGTCCCCAATGGTTCTGGGGACCGGTAAGCGGTCTCTGCTCGCCCGCAGAGAGGCAAGAGGGACACCCCCAAGCCACTTGGGTCTGGTCAAGCACCACTGTTGGCGCCAAGAAATAAGCTCTCTCGAGGGCCAGTGCGAGTCAGATGGACTTGAAAGAGAGGAAGCCAAAGCGTCGAGGCGCTTTGGTGCGCACGGCCCGCGTGGGAGCTCCTTCCAGGCCCAAAGCACTGGGAAACCTCCACGTGCCAAATTCTGGGTCGCAGAATTCTGTGGTGACAAGGGTCGCTCGGCCCCTGGGGGCAACGCTGGCCACGGCCCTGGCGCGTGCTGGGCGAGGCTCGTGGGGCCCGCGGAGCCAGCCGAGGCCCTGTGGCCCGAGAGCCGAGCAAAGGCCTGACCTGTCTTTCCAGGGCGATCTTGTCGCACTCCAGGTCTTGCCTTGCCACCCTTTCCCGCAGGAGCTCGCTCCTCGTTTGCTCAATCTGCAGTAGAAGAAGAGAAAAGAAACGAAAACAGCAGCAAGAAGTCAGCAGGCTCAGTCGGTCAGAGCAGGGAAGAAGTCGGCCGTAGGCCAGGCTAAGAAACCAGCAGATGAACATTCGTTGCCCGAGGACAACTGCGTCTGTAGGTGAACTAAGACGACGCCTACGATCACGTAAAATGCGTGCACGTGGCCGCGTCCGCCGGGATCTAACGCGCTCAGCTGCGGGGCTCTTTCTGCACTGCCGCCTCTCCCCACGCGAAGGTGACCGGCCTGCTCCTTTCGGTTCCCGTTGGCCAAAGTGGTACCCCGCTGGCTTGCCCAGACCTGGTGCCTGCCGCGGCGCTTCCTCACCACCGTCTCCGGCCCGCCTCGGCAGGGAACATCCGCC